GAACCGCTGCTCTCCGGCTGCCGCAGCGCGATCCACCCAAATGACAGCAATCTACCCCATGCTAATGGAGTACTGTCTTCACTTAACGCCGCCTCCAGCAGTTTCTGCAGAGCATCCGCTGCGCAGACCACAGCTCCCCGGGGCACCCTCTTCAGTGCTCTACCATTGGCACAACACCGAGAAACATACCCCAAGAAGTCGAAATCTGCGGGTCTTTCTGCTATACCGACATTGGCTCTACCCAAGCACCCCGGGCACAGCCAACGCCCGAAGGCGTCTGCCTGCGCTCTAGTCAGCCCTACGCATGAGAGATGGTAACATCCCTCACACGAAGAACAACTGATTGTCCTCTTCCTGTTGTTAACAGTCGAGCAACTCAGGCACCCGCGTCCTCTCCCCTCCATCCCTCGGCCGTTTCCATAAGGTTAGGCGAAGACCAAGACGGAACGGCTGCTGTGGCTACAATCAAAATTACGCTTATGCTAGATCGAATACTACGTGCAGCAAGTCAAGCAAGTGGCACGCCGCAAAAGAATAACGAGCACACTCAGTGGAAAGACGTGTCAATAATAAAATCGCCGCGTCAGCAAAAACGAGACGAGAGAATGGGAGCAACGCACGTGCAAGGCAACAGAGCAAACAACAAGCAATCGAGGAGCTCTTAGGCACCACACAACCTGCTCCCGTGGATGCTCAGATAACACTCACTAACACTGTAATTCACGTAATGATTCCTGATAACCCGTAACTAAAACCTGATTACGGAGGAACATTTGCACACAACATTACTTCTTAGTAGGATATCTTGGAAAGACGAAGAATATGCGATATGGACAATAAAGATAAAGATAAACAAGGCGGGATCCTGGAGCAGCATTTTCAGCAGTTTCCAGGATCTCCAGATGGAGTGGCGGGCAAGCTGGTGGAGGAAGCTGGTGGAGGAAGGCCATAAGGAAGAATCCAGCCTGTGTGAGAACGTACGGGGGAAGAAGACCTAAGAGAAGCAGGGGAGGAGCGTGGAGAGCTAAGAGTAGCAGGGGAGGAGCGTGGAGAGCTAAGAGAAGCAGGGGAGGAGCGTGGAGAAGAGCTAAGAGAAGCAGGGGAGGAGCGTGGAGAGCTAAGAGTAGCAGGGGAGGAGCGTGGAGAGCTAAGAGAAGCAGGGGAGGAGCGTGGAGAAGAGCTAAGAGAAGCAGGGGAGGAGCGTGGAGAGCTAAGAGAAGCAGGGGAGGAGCGTGGAGAAGGGCAGGGCGGGGGCGGTGCTCTGTAGGTCCAGGGCGGTGATGAGACACTCGCTCGAGCGCTCCAGCTCCCCCAGGCCGCTGCACACCTCACCCAGGGCGCTCCTGTGCACACATGGGGTGGATATGTGACATGTGCACACGTGGTCGAAAATGACATACCTACGTGTTGGATACGCAAGACAAGCACGCGTTAAATACGTGGTTCATACACGACATGCGCAATATTCGCACGAATTAAATACGCAACACAAGCACGTGTCAGATATGCAAGACATATGTACTTGCTAGATACGTCACCATAACACGGGGCAGTTTTTATTTTAGAAATAATAATTTTTTATAAGAGAAATTTTATTCCAATTTAAGGGAGCTGAAACAAAACTAATTTGACACGCCTAAAATTACTGAAGAAATAACATCCTGCGAACCTGCGACAAAAGCGATAGGTATCCTACCATGATCCTAGAACCATGAAGGAAAATGATCATTTCACCACGACGGCATGACCATGAAGAACCATGTCTCACCATGACTGATGGTCTAGCGGGTCTGTCTTGACGGCGTCCAATAGCGTCTTCTCGGCGAGGCGGTAGCTACCTTCCTTCAGGTATAGCATGCCCTGCGATACACAGTCGAGTCACTACATAATTATATTATAATTATGTTAATAGAATAATTACTATCCATAACTTCAGAATCTTACTTAGCTCTTAGATAGCATATTCCTATTACTTTCACTTTTCATACTTTATTACTTTCATTGGCATACACTCATCGGACGAGCAACGACAGGAATATTGGTGCCCTTTATACTACCCCTCAATTACCCTCACTTTTTGGGTCTTCCATATTCACCCACCCTCTCCGTACAGGATCTTTTTGGGCCCTCCATAATTCTCAGCAAACTTGCATTGGTGTCATAAATTATACCCATACCACAGCTGAAGCAGGCAACACCTCAGTTCCGAGTACTAAATCGAGTTAGCCATTGACCAGCGAACGACAGGTAGGCATACGTGATACAAGTACTGGGTCAGGATGACCCACTATAAGGCAAGTGGGAGTGCAGCGACTTCCATACACCCTAGCTACTGCCTTCCCGCCATAGAGACCTCGGAGGCACGGATGCTGATTTCTTTTGACGGGTCGCTTGACTAGGTTATTAGTTCAGGC